GTGTGAGTGCTGTAAGGCTACGGCATAAAAGCCGTTAAGCTGAGAGGGTAAAGCGGCCCTGGTGGCGTAACGGATAGCGCACTCGCCCGGAAAGCGTGAGGTGCGGGTTCGACTCCCGCCTGGGGCACGACTTTTGCCCATTTCTCAAAAGGTTATTGGTCACGACAGATTCCAGTCCCTCGAAAACTTATGGAACATTCTAAGTAAAAGCAACTTACCTCACTCAATTTTGGTAAATACGCATCAATATTCCTAATTTTGTACGGAACGGTAGCCAAGATCCCATTGAGATCCGGTCTCGCTTGCTTTATGATGGTTTGTCGAAGTGTTTGTGATATAGGCAAATTGAGAGCAAGCGTACAAGCAGTCGCGTCATATGGTGAGTCCTTCAACTGGCTCGCAACAGCTTCGGCCACCTATAAAACAAAACCGTTTCTAACAACGAGAGGAAGTACTACTTGAAATTCAAATCAGAATAAAGCGCTGTTCCACTGAGGTGGGACATTTGGGGGCAAAGCTCTAAAGACATGCGAAAACCGCAACAATTTTGTGATTGATGAGGTGGGTGGGGAGGGTGTCTGGTGGAGAGGGACCTGGGTGAACTCATGACTTCTACCCCCCCCCTCTCCGTGGAATAGCGCCCCAATGCAAAAAAATGGTCATAGGAGGAGTCAACCAACTTTTTCTATGTATGCCGGATCAAGAAGCCCAAAGCACAATACGCACTCGAAAGGCTTTTCAACCACTTCAACATGAGATGTATCCTCTCCAGCGATTTGGCGACGACAGAGAGCACACAGATGAAGTTTCACCTTTTCTTCAACATTCGCATCTGCAGACATAAAGCGTTTTCTGAAAAGGATTCATATGAAGCACATGAAAAGCGACTTCATGGCGGCAGGGCAAGCATTCAAGGATATAACGAGTATGAGATTGTTTATCTTACAAAAACTGTGGGAGGAACAACAGCAAATTCACTAAAAACTAAATGAAGATGCGCTTTAATCTGGTGCAATAGTTCGTCGGATTACGGTGACCCCAAATTTGGGCTAATGCCGTTTGGACTCCAGAAATTTCTCCGAGCTCATTTTAAAAGTGGCAAGATCACCAAATCCGCTAAAAACTTGTATATAGGGGTAATTCAACATCCTGATCACGAATATGACATTCATTTTGGCGCTGGCGCTAATGGATGACACTACGGTTACTTGGCTCGAGCCTGTAGCGGAGCGCAGGTAATCGTAGTGTCATCCATTAGCGCCAGCGGCAAGAGTGAATGTCATATTCGTAATCAGGATGTTAAACTACCCCTACATACAAGTTTTTAGCGGATTTGGTAACTTAGGCAATTTAAAAATGAGCTCGGTGCCGAAGTTGCTGGAGTCCAAACGGCATTAGCCCTACCCCTATGTACAAGTTTTTAGTGGATTTGGTGACTTAGGCAATTTGAAAATGAGCTCGAAGACGAAATTTCTGGAGTCCAAACGGCATTAGCCCCAAATTTGCACCTGTGGTTTTTCAGCGTCATGTCATGTAATGCGGACTCTCCGCCAGTGCAGGGAAACTAGAAAAACTAGTGAACTACATAACGCCCCACTAGAAAACCAATAATGCTTAACAGCAACTACAGGTGTTCATGGCCTACCGGCCTGAATTTTTCCTTTTAGATTTGCCGCGAGTTCCAATCTTGAACTCGTTCGCCATGTTCGTCGAGCACTGTCCAATATCAGTATAGGAGGAACAAAAATTTAACAAATAACTTTGAGGTGGGCCTACCTATGAATTTTTCAGGTGTGTCTTCCTCTTTGTTACTTTTGTCCTTCACAACCGCGTTCACCCTGCAAGTCCTGTGACTTCCTGGTTGGAAAGGCTGCCCACCCCAAGGTTATAGTACCTCAAAACACTTCTGAGCTCTATCAGAAACTTGATTTGTACAATACCTCGATTTGTACAATACCTAGTCGAGGTAGTTTTTACTTATTTTCTATGAAAACGCATAAGAATCCTAATAAGTCAAAATAAGCCCACCTCGAGATAACGTGCTCTAGGGCGACACATCAGTGAGCAACTCGTCCTTTCCACGCCCACAGACAACACTTTGTTTACGGACTTATTGCCTGGCTGTTAACAAAAGCTTAGACTACGAAGCTTTCGGTATTCTCCAACCCCTCATGGGAAATACCACTGGTGGTCAAATCTGCAGCTGGATAAAGTTTTTAGTTCTGGGTGGGGGATGAATCAAGATAAGAAGACGACGGCGGTCCTGAAACGATCACTTCTCCGTCCTTTAACGTTTCTCTGCGCTCCATTGCATAAGAAATTCTCTTCGACAGCGTTTATTTTCTCGTTGATAAGGGATGTTTTTGTTATTCTTTGCCAGTTTTTATGCACACTGCATCTAATTGCGCGTGAACTTGTTCATTAGTAGGCATCGCCTGCTGTTCGTCGTTTTAGAGCTTCATATTGCAGGCAGATATGGCCGGAAAGCAGGGTCAGGAAGCTATGAGGAAAGCGCTTCAGAATGCCAGAGGTGCTGGTACTGGAATAGGACTGATTGCTGCAGCAGGAGTTGCTGTCTATGGAATCTCTCAATCAATGTTCACAGGTACTTATTATTGACGAAAGACTGTCCATATTGAAAAATCTTCCAAATCATTCAGTAGTTTTAATTAAACCTTCATTTCTTTCGAAGAGCAGTTAGAATTTGTAAGGTTTCATGATTTGAATGACACGCTGTCTTTTGAGTCCTGGGGTCGCATTATAGAATTCCAGTATCCTATCTATATATTTTGTCTTTATTTACGATATAGGTATGGCTCGACCAACTTTTGGGGAGGAAAATCACCCACTATGATATCTGAAGAACAACTTGGAAAGGTCGTGTCAGGGTTGGAATGGGTAGGGCATGAGACAGGGTAAGAGCACACACGACCTATGCTGAGCCCTGCCCGCAGGGGGGAGCAGAGCATGCGCCGCAGGTTAGCGGTGTCGCAGATAAAAATTCATGATTCGGTTCCAGAGCAGTTATAGGGGGAAAGGGTAAAGTTAGCAAGGGATTGTGAGACTAACGGGGGGGGGGAGACAAACCCGGAATAGGCGGTGCTTCCCACAAAATTGAGTAACTCGGTTCTTGAGATAACTTAGAAATCGCAAAGAAGTCGATGGGGAAGAGAAACATTTGGTGGAAGTTGAGCATGCCTGTGGTGAGCTGAGACCCACCCACACTGGGCAGAGATTGTGTTTCCTATAAAGAAGAGCCATTGTCATATAAGTGTTTCACTTTTCATTCCACAGGATTGCAGAAAACCATGGTTTAACTCTACATTGGATTCAAAGCTAGAAAAAAAAACAAATCTTTATAGGCTGTTATAGGTTCTAAATTTGCGGTTTGATGTTAATTTTCATTTATGTAGTTTCATTATCAGGAAGTATCAAGTATCTGTGTTTTCAGTGGATGCCGGTCACCGTGCTATCATGTTCAATCGTATTGGTGGGCTCTCCAACGACGTATACAAAGAGGGGTTGCATTTTAGAGTTCCATGGTTCCAATATCCTATCATTTACGACATCCGTGCTCGACCTAATCAGGTAATTACTCAGTCGCATCAAAAGGTGTTGTGTTCTACATCTTTACTATTTTTCAAGATTCGTTCTCCAACTGGAAGCAAAGATCTGCAAATGGTCAATATTGGTCTCCGAGTTCTCTCTCGGCCAAACCCCTGATCAACTAGTTAGAATGTACCGAACGCTTGGGCAAAACTGGGAAGAAAGAGTCTTGCCGTCGATTTGTAATGAGGTATGGTGTAGGTTTTAGTAACGATTTTTTTATTTGTAATGCCAACATTGTGAAGTGTTTTGGTCTTGTAGGTACTAAAAAGCGTGGTGGCGAAGTTCAACGCGTCACAGCTCATTACCCAACGTCAGCAGGTGAACTAATTTTTGCGTTTATTTTTCTAGATGACGTGAGATTTTATTCGAATTTGTTGAACTGAATACCTTCCTCTGTTGAGGGTTCTTGGTGGAGATATTCACGCCAGAGCATGCTCGAAAATTTTTGCGAAATACGATCCCTTCCCCTCAAAATTTCCTCCTCTGGTACGACTCTCTTTCCCCATACTACTATCATCTTCCTCAATTCTCCAACTTCATAGCACTCAAGCGGGGGGGGGGGTATAGCGCAACATCAAGACAAGCAGACAGAGAAGGGCAACATCCGAAACCATCTTTCTCGAAAGCAGATACGACCCCTCCCCCAGCAACCGGGTGGACCCCCCCCACGAGATTCGCTAACTCAGGGCGTCCCAGCGTTTCCCGCTTGAAGCTTGCGTTCTCAAATTAGGCTGGTTTGTTCGACATATTTCTAAAAACTTCCAACATAAAGAAAATTTTTGATGCGAGTATCGCGCACTTGCGTGCTCGATCATCTCGCTCAATTATTATCTTACCCTACACAACCCTTATGTTTGAACTCCTTTCCTTCTGTTTTTTTGTGTCCAGCTCTTCTCTTTTTCAATAAAACTAACTCGTGCTCGGGACGGGGGAGTCTGAAGTTTTGCGTCAGTACCTTGTAGTCTGCGATTTTGAGGTATGAGAGAACTTGGAAGTGGGTGAACCACCCAGTACATTCCAAATATGCAAATAATTGGTCTACGCACCCAGAATTGTTTACTACGTTAAAAGTTGCAAGCCTCATACAGCGATGCATAATTCTAGATTATCCTCCACCGGGGCACGTGTTGCTTGATTTTGCATCGCACTCTCAATATAGTTAGAATATTGGGGCTGATCACGAATCTTTCCGTCATTGAAAAATATCGACAGGTGGTCTAACTGCAAAGGAATTTTTGTAGGTCTCGATGCTGGTCAGAAAAGCTCTGATCGAGCGAGCATTAGACTTCAACATTATCCTCGACGACGTCTCGCTCACTGAACTGGCCTTCTCGCCACAATACTCAGCTGCCGTTGAAGCGAAGCAGGTGTGTTCAACGATGTTCACTACTTATGGGTCTTTTTTAGAAGACTGTCCATTGAAAACTATCCATCCAAGGGTCTTTTCTAACGAGAACCGAATTCTTCGGCTTTGTGTTCTCTTACTTCTGCCGTCGATAGACGGGACAGATTCAGAGCCGACGTGGGGGAGCCACATAAGTGCAAACCATTCAGCTGTACGTTCTGGCATGTGCGAATATGCGCGGCCAAGGAAAAATCATGAGGCGCGACGAATCCGAATGAAGGGAACGAATTCCACGCAAAATACTGCTTTTGATGCATTTCTGCCTTCTCAAAGAATTCCGACGCAAGAAAGAACACAAGAAAATAGTTTTCACAGCAACGCAAGTGTTTCAGTTTCATCTAGAGAATTAAAACCATCAAGGCGTTGTTTTTCACCTTCTGTTTTGCATTTCTGCACTTTTGTGGTCTCCACATGAGCCTCTACAGCATGCGGTGAACCTTTTGAAAATGGCTACAGGACCTCAATAGCCTCCTCTCGTAAGAACCTTGTCAGAAAAAAGAAAAGAAAAAGTTCAAAAGTTCAATCGTCGAAAGTTTGACACCTATATCTTCTTCATTGAAGTTCTTCAGCCCGGGTGATTTCAGCTTATTCATCATTCTTAATAGTGTAGTTCGCACACTATTAAGAATGATGACACACTACTCCAAAACAAAGTTGGGCGCATTTCGGCTTGTTGGGGGCATTTTAGTAGTGCTCAGTGATTATTACAGATGGCTTTGTGAAGACCTGTATGCTCCAGTACATGAGTTTCGCTTACGCTTGATGACGGTATACAGGTCTCACAGGTAAAGACAAGTAAGTTAACCGAAATTGGTAAAAGAAACTAGCGAGCTACCCTTTGACGCGAGTAGCGCCGTAAGATTGTTCCTTGTCGAACTGATTGGTCTTTCCTCAAGGCTTGCTCCTTGGGTTTTCTTCTCTTTCCTCTCGTTCTCTTTCCGCAAATGATCATTGCTACATTTTTATTACTTTTTAATGTTCTGTTTCTCCTGAACAGCAGCTCGGTGTGTGAAATAAAGAATATTTAGGTAGCAGCCCAAGAAGCCCAACGTGCTCATTTCCTTGTAGAGCGAGCTAAACAACAACGTCAAGAAAAGATTGTCCAAGCTGAAGGAGAAGCTCAGTCGGCAAAAATGGTTAGTTTTATCCTTTGGACGCTTTCAGACATCGCGATAGCAAAGTCTGAACACGGTCCTGCATTTTCTCAGATTGAATGTGTTCCTTTTTGTCGTTAATCTTGACAAACTTAAGAAGTGTCACTAAGTTTGTTGTAAGGCGCGACATATATCAAAGAGGTCACAATACTACAAGCCCTCGATAGACTAGAAGGCTTGCTATACGTCATCCAACAATTTTTTTTCTCGTTTTTCAATTTTGCTTCTAGAAGTTAGCGTAATTTCTATTCGTTCAGCTTGGAGAGGCTATGAGAGCGGACCCTGGTTTCTTGAAGTTGCGGAAGATTCGAGCAGCTCAGACCATCGCTCGAGTTGTATCGGAGTCTAATAACAATAAGGTATGGAATTTACATTTTGGCGCAGTTCGCCTTGAGCGGGGAGGGGGGGGGTATTTTGCTTTTTCGCTGCTTCGCTAGTTCCGGTTTACAAATCTCACTGGCGAAACAGGTGAACTCTTGTGAAGCGGAGCAAGCTAGTCGACTCACGATAAAACCTGTGAAC